CAAGCAAAATAAAGAACAATTTAAAATATCATTGGACAAATATTTTTTTTAGCAATTTTTAACATAAAATTTGAAAGTTCTTAGTATCGTTTAAAGTCCACTTATGTCTGCCAATTTTATGCAGTCATACTTTCCGTCGTTCTTTATTGCGATCTCTGACAGGTAAGCAATTTTACTTAAAGCCTAATTTTGACTTATTAGAACACGCAAATGCGCAGCAATCTATTTTTTTAATCATAATTCAAGAATATGAAACAAACAAAGTAAAAAAAAGCAAAAATATGAATAACAGATCGAGTACAATGATGTTTCCCCATTGAAACTAGTCAACAAAATGGCGACTAATAGACCCATGTGATCGGCAATAGCCAATCAAAATCGAAAGCGGCGCAAAGGTCGAAAGGAAAAGAGTGACGCTACTTAAACTAGGTTATGTAGGACAGTGTTTCCCAATCCCCGGTCCACCTATTTCATTGAAAGTGAATTTAAATTCCTAGGTTTATACCCCAAATTAAAAATATTTGTGTTCCATTAAAATTTTATTTATTTAAAAAAAGGGGTCCCCGAAGGTAGTGACATAAACTTTTTAATGTTTTAAAAAGTTTAAAAAAAAAGAAAACCACCAACCAACTATTTTCTCTTTCAATTAGATTTAATAAACTAACATTGCACAGACGGAGCTGCTGCCATGACCGGACGACTGTCTGGTTTAACTGCTCTGATTAAGAAAGTTGCACCTGAGAGTGAATCTACACATTGTCTCATTCACAGAGAAGTGTTAGAAGGCCGAAAAATGTCACCGGATTTTAACAGCGTATTGATTGATGTAGTTAAAGTTATTAATTACATCAAAGCACACGCCCTTAACTCACGCCTGTTTGAGCAGTTTTGTGAGGAGATGGACGCAGAGTGCAGATGCCTTCTGTTATACGCAGAAATGAGATGACTATCCAGAAAAAAATCACTATTCAGAGTATTTGAATTGCAAGAGCCATTGCAAAGATTTCTCTTAGAAAAGAAGTCACCGCTGGCAACACATTTCAGTGACAAAGTATGGGTCACCAAACTGGCTTACCTGTGCGACATATTCAACCTGCTGAGTGAATTCAATCTGTGCCTCCAGGGGAAAATGACAACTGTTTTCATGTTGCCAGACAAAGTAGCTGCATTTAAAGCCAAACTGGAGTTGTGGGAACGGCGCATGAACAGAGGCATTTTCGACATGTTTCTGACATTAGAGGGGATTTTAGGCGAGACTGAACCTGAACATTCATTCTCCCAGTTGGTGCACGATCACCTGTCTTTGCTTTTAAAAGAGTTCGAGCGCTACTTCCCAACCACAAAAGACCCACGAACTGGTAAGGAATGGATCCGCGACCCATTTGCCAACAAATCGGGTGAATCTAGCTTGTCAATGCAAGANTACTTACCATAACTATTAGTTTATTGAAATAGACACACTATTCTTTTATAAAATAAAACAAAACAAAGCAATTAAAATTTTCAATATAGACATTTTTAGAGACATTTCTTTAGAATTTAAAAGTCAAAATTCCACATAAGCAAGCAAAATAAAGAACAATTTAAAATATAATTGGACAAATATTTTTTTTAGCACTTTTTAACATAAAATTTTAACGTTCTTAGTATCGTTTAAAGTCCACTTACGTCTGCCAATTTTATGCAGCCATACTTTCCGTCGTTCTTTATTGCGATCGATCTCCAACAGGTAAGCGATTTAACTTACAGCCCAATTTTGACTTACTAGAACACACAAATGCGCAGCAACCTATTTTTTTTAACCATAATTCAAGAATATGAAACAAACAAAGTAAAAAAAAGCAAAAATATGAATAACAGATCGAGTACAATGATGTTTCCCCATTGAAACTAGTCAACAAAATGGCGACTAATAGACCCATGTGATCGGCAATAGCCAATCAAAATCGAAAGCGGCGCAAAGGTCGAAAGGAAAAGAGTGACGCTGCTTAAACTAGGTTATGTAGGACAGTGTTTCCCAATCCCCGGTCCACCTATTTCATTGAAAGTGAATTTAAATTCCTAGGTTTATACCCCAAATTAAAAATATTTGTGTTCCATTAAAATTTTATTTATTTAAAAAAAGGGGTCCCCGAAGGTAGTGACATAAATTTTTTAATGTTTTAAAGAGTTTAAAAAAAAAGAAAACCACCAACCAACTATTTTCTCTTTCAATTAGTTTTAATAAACTAACATTGCACAGACGGAGCTGCTGCCATGACCGGACGACTGTCTGGTTTAACTGCTCTGATTAAGAAAGTTGCACCTGAGAGTGAATCTACACATTTTTTCATTCACAGGGAAGGTGCTAGAAGGCCGAAAAATGTCACCGGATTTTAACAGCGTATTGATTGATGTAGTTAAAGTTATTAACTACATCAAAGCACACGCCCTTAACTCATGCCTGTTTGAGCAGCTTTGTGAGGAGATGGACGCAGAATACAGATGCCTTCTGTTATACGCAGAAATGAGATGACTATCCAGAGGAAAATCACTACTCAGAGTATTTGAATTGCAGGAGCCATTGCAAAGATTTCTCTTAGAAAAGAAGTCACCGCTGGCAACACATTTCAGTGACAAGGTATGGGTCACCAAACTGGCTTACCTGTGTGACATATTCAACCTGCTGAGTGAATTCAATCTGTGCCTCCAAGGGAAAATGACAACTGTTTTCATGTTGCCAGACAAAGTAGCTGCATTTAATGCCAAACTGGAGTTGTGGGAATGGCGCATGAACAGAGGCATTTTCGACATGTTTCTGACATTAGAGGGGATTTTAGGCGAGACTGAGCCTGAACATTCATTCTCCCAGTTGGTGCACGATCACCTGTCTTTGCTTATAAAAGAGTTCGAGCGCTACTTCCCAACCACAAAAGACCCACGAACTGGTAAGGAATAAATCTGCGACCCATTTGTCAACAAGTCGGGTGAATCTAGCAAGTCCGGACAAGAAGAAGGTCAACTACTGGAGATTGCAAATGACGGCGGCCTTAAAACTACGTTCGAGACAACAACTCTACCGGTGTTGTAGATTAAAGTCATAGCAGAGTACCCCGAGATTGCCACAACAACACTTAAATCCCTATCGCCATTTCCGACAACCTATCTGTGTGAGGTGGGGCTTTCTGCAAAAAAAAAAGTAACAGCAACCAAAACAAAGCAACGGAATAAACTGGACATAAGCAACACATTTCGGGTGTCATTGTCTCCGATTACGCCCCATATGGAACCGTCTCATTGCAAAGAAACAAGATCAGGGTTTTCATTGATTTAGCGTTCTAGTAAGTTAAAATGTTAAATCACTTTAGATTTATTTTTTGGTGCAACTGTACTCTATTTTGAAGGCATGTTTAAGCACAATTAAATTAAAATTAATAAATCAAAATAATCTAAATTATAAACAATCATCGTCCCCCTCCCCAGCGGACCGCGGTAAAATTATCAAACGTTGACAGATCCGCTGTGATTAAAAGGTTGGGGAACACTGATCTAGGGCTTTAGTTTCTCGTTCTTATTTCGCAATATTTATTTCGCTTTAAATTTCCTGCAGAACTCTATATTTTTTCTTCAATCTGCGCTTCAGAAATAATAATATTTGCTTATAGTACCAAAATTATTTGCTTATTTGTGCTTTTTATGTTGTTTCGACATTTTTTTACATCAGCACAAAAGTTATTTTACTTATTTTGGATATATCGTAAACAGGCTAAATTTCTTACCTTTATTTTATAAATAGGATTTATTCTCATAGTTTATTATCTTATTACACTGCTCACCACCGTAAATGCAACACCCTGAAGGAAGCATGCAAATAACATGAAATTTACAACTTGCATTAGCAGAGGTGAGATATGCAAATGATTAGAATTTCAGCAGAGACGCACATTTCGCGCGCCAGTGGCGCCACTTCAAAGCGCTATTTAAGACTTGGAGATTTTGACGATTTCAAGTTCGACAATTGTGTTTTTCTTGGTTTTTTTTCAAAAAACGATCAATTATGCCTAGTAGAAAACAGCGATCATCTTTTGATCAAGTATCCGAGTTTGACAGAGGAAGGATAGTGAACTATCGAGATTGTGGATTATCTTTCAGGGAAATCAGTAGTCGTGTTGGACGAAATCAAACAACTGTAATGCGGCTATGTGATCGTGGGATGCAGGAGGGTACGACGGACCGACGTGTTCCATTGCATCCACCTCAGTGCACCACTTCACGTGATGACAGACGAATTGTGCGCATGGCAGAGACTGATCGCTCAGTCACACCACAAACCATAGCACAGCACAATCAGTCTGTAACGCATCATCTAGTGTCTGCACGTACCATTTGATGCCGTTTACAGCAGAGTGGTCTGTCCGCAAGACGTCCATTGTTTCGTCTACCCTTGACGCAGAACCATAGACGTCTCCGCCGCCAATGGTGAAATGAAAGAAGGATGTGGACTACAGAATGGAATGAAATTGTCTTTACTGACGAGTCACGCTTCTGTCTGCAACACCACGATGGTCCTATTCGACTCTGGTGACACTGTGGAGAGAGGATGTTGAACAGCTGCGTTATGCATCTCCACACTGGTCCTGCACCGGGTATTATGGTATGGGCGGTATTGGATATCACTCTCGCATAGGGCAAATCGCAATCATAGGGCAAAAGCACCACCAGCCACAGGGCGACTAAATATAACGAATGGCGATTAAAAGATAGTCTACCAATCACCACCAGATCGCCACCTTTTTTGTTGACAAAATGCTCCCTATGTTCATTTTATAATTATTTTTTTTAATAAATATGTGATTATTAATATTTTGAATTATTGTGAAAATTACTCTATTTCGTGCTTCTATATAAAAATATTTCTTCATTTTAGGAATGAACCATGCTATACTTACCATATTTTGCAAAATGCTTTAGAAGAAGTGCCTCCTATTATAATTATTAACAATTTCCTTGATGTCCTCAATTTCGGAAGGAAATGGCTCAATCTTTTGAAACGTGGCTACTGTTAAAATGCAACAAGAATTTTTTAGAATCTAATTAATTTAGTATTTGTTACCATAATGAATTCGGAATGAAACTTTGAAATAACTGCTTCTATTTTTTTGCACTTTAAAATTAAATTTATTTTGTTAAATTTCAGACAATTAAAAGGCATAATAATGGACGCAGCAAGCAGGAAAGAAAGCACTTGAAACAAGTTAGAGTTGCAAAAGAGACCACTTACAACCAAAACGTGCAAAATTTGATATTGATGCAGAAAGCAATAGTGAATGAAGTGGATAAATAATTAGATCAATATGGTAGTAAGGTAAGTGCAAATTAAATAGACAAAGTGCAAGTTGAATGCAAAGGAAGTGCAATGAATTGAATGAAAACAGGTTGAGAAAATAAGATCATTTAAATATTTTAACGCATTTAAAAATGTATTTTATGACTAATATTAAAACATTGATTTCATTTATAAACTTGCTGTTGAACTGGACTTTGACCTACAGAAATAGCGCACTTTTGATTAAGTAAACTGTGTGCACAATATGAGCAATATAGCACGACATATCTTCCTTTTCAGCTAAGCGAAAAAAATTTATTATGTTAAGTTCACTTTGAAAAAAAAAAGATTAGTTACATAAATGAAAACTGACAAAATACTTTAAACAGCTTTATTATAATTGTCTTAGATTATTTATAAGCTTATCGTTACCAATTATATTCATTTTAAATAATGGTTTCTCAAATTTGAGCAAAACAAGCTCCGAAACAAATATAGTCGAATTTGTAAACCCGTTATTGAGTATAGTGACGTGCTCAAAATTGAACAGTTTAAAAAAAATGACACATCATCTTCAAATGTGACGAAGATCAAATTTCATTAGTTTATAACTATCAAATATTCTAAACGAAAATATAATCAGATAAAAGTTGACAGTCCTTACCTTCATTCGAAATTTATATCAATAAAAAAGAATGTCTTTAGGTCTTTAATCAACACTTTACTACCTTCCAGACATGTTTATTTAAAATTGAAGACGGATTCTCAGAGCTGTTTCACTTTTAAGCATGTCACTATACGCACTAATTAGTATATTGGTGTTTTCAAATTCGATTGTACTTGTTTCGGACGTACTTCGGCACATTTTTGTGCAATTTTGACAAATCCTTTTTTCCAGTGTTTACAGGAGATATTACTGCGCGTTTGAAAATAGCAAATCCTTCAAAATAATTATGCTATTCATAGAGAGAAAATATTGATGATGTGCCATTATTCATGAGTAAAAGTATAAAAATTGAAAAATATAAAATAAAAGAACTTTTAAAATATAAGTGTGTTTTTAAGGAAAGACTCACTGTGCCCAGCTTTCACTTATACAAGGTGTTTTATAAAAGGATTGAAGTATAATAGGCCATACATCTTTTATTTAATTTTTTTATGTGAAACATGTATGTTGAAATATGACGAAAATCTTCTACTGGTTTCAAAACGTTCTAGTATGGACAATTAACCCTTTCGCCGCGACTATCAAGCAGGAAATACGTGAAAGCAGGAAACGCTTTCTCTTCCCGGTTAACAAACCGGCGGACCAAAGCGCTTCCTCTCCCGGTCGTAACGTATTTGTGATAGTGTTCTAAAACGTTTTGCGAACAATAAATTTAGGCACCAAATAGCATTGCATCTCCATAGGATTCGAGATTCTTCTAGATTTGATATTCTACTCGAAATGAGAATCATATGACTCATTTGCACATGGTGTTTGATTATGAGTATAAACACGGGCGAACGGAATGTTTTTAAATTGTATGCTTTATGACGGCTTTTTAAAATTAGCACGTGGTACAACTCTGATTCAAATTATTGCAATAAATGAAAAGTTCTACAGTAAAAAGTCTCTTATTTATTTATTTATTATTATTTTTTTTTTACTTTCTTTTATTAAAATACAAATTTGACAAATCTACCCTGCATATTTTATTGTATTTTTAAACGTTGAAAAAGTAAAAGTCAATAATGTCAGAAGTCTTTAAATAGTAAATAAATCCAGAAAAAAATTATTCAAAAATGTAATAAAGAAAAAAATTTAAGTAAATAAAGCATATGAATAAAAAATATATGTAGTATATGTTGTTAATTTACTTCAAGTTCATTATTAAAGAACCCGTTCATACTTAGGTAATTTTGTGGATATAGGCTTAGCAGCAAAAGACCCTCCGGCCCTGGGCACAGGTGCTCACAAAAGAGACTCCAGGCCTCAGCAATAAGCGCGTTACCGTTGCGAAAGGGTTTACTACTCGAAAATGGTGAAAGAAATGTGGGATAGAGAATACACTATGTATAATATTTCAGAATAAATACTTAGGATTTTCTTTTATACTTAATACTTTTCTCCCCACTAATACTGGAACTGATGTTATTATTTATATTTTTAGGAAGCTACACTGAGAAGAAATCCTCTATCTGCTACTTGTTAAATAAATGTATGACAGACGCTAAAAATATAATAAAAAATACAATATCTAAACAATAAAAACATCATAAGAAAATTTGTGTGTTTAATGTTATTTTCAATGACAGTTAATATTTGTCCTCTAAAGTATCCTAATAAGGGTTTAGGAAATAGAAAAAAGCCCTCACTATAATCGCAAAAATAAACAACATTTAGTTGTTTGAAACATCTTTTAATAGTTTGAGACGTGTATTAAATAATTTAGAACACGTTTTGTACCCTTAGTAATTGGATTCAGAGTGAGATAAATGTGTAACAATTGATCATTGATTAATTTTTGATTCAAAGATTGGATTTTGTCTAATTGAATTTCAATATTAATGACTCCAGCATGTTAATTAAATTATTGAATAATAATAACTGTTTTACTTTTAAAAAAAATCTTTTTATTTTTATTTATTTGTTTTTTTTTTAAATTAATTGATAAATATAAAAATAAATATAAAATAAATATAAAATAAAAATTTACTGATAAATATTTTCATGAATTAGAGTTTTTCGAAATCAATAAAATGTTATAGATTTTTGTTGATAGAAATATGAAAAATCAAAATTTCTCTTCACTTAAATAATTTTATTTCGATGTTAAAATTTAAAAAAAAAAGCATATATAAAAACTTATTTTCATTTGTTTTAGACCGGGGATATATTCTCTTTTATAGAAAAAAAAATCGTTCAATCGAAAAATAGGTCATCAAAAAATATATTTCAAAGTCTTAGATTTTTAATTTTTTCATGTATATGATGGTTCCATAAAATTACTATATCTAGTTAATATCTCTCTCAAAATTTTTTTTTCTAACAAATGTCCTTCGTTTCCATCCAAATTCTATTAAACTGATAAAATATCTTCGTTTTATCATAAGTGTATATTATAATCTCTCTGAATTATTCATTGGCGTATAATTTGTCTAAAATACGTCGTGTGTTATCACAAAGCTAAAACATCATTCATTATTTTCAATGTCATGTTATATTTTCTAAATAACAAAATTTCCGGCAACAAATCTCATCCCTTAAAAAATTTTATGAAATATTCAGGCAACTCCAAAAAAATGGTAGAAGAACATTTTCTACCCATTATTTTGAGAAAAAAAAAAACTCTTACGATCATAACTGACTAACATGGTCACAGGTAAAGACTAAATCATAAGTAGTTGAATGCTGAAATAATTGGAGGAGAGCTGGATATTGTTTTAAAAGTCGTGGTTTGAAACTAAGATGGATATTTATAGTTTTCTTTCTCTCCGGAGCTGAATTCCAGTCGCTATCTTGAGTATTTTGTATTTTTACTGCAGAGTGGGGGAGTTTAAAAGGGAGAGTTATTAACTTTTACTATTTTTCCGAGTGAGACATTGTATTTTAAAAGTTTTTTCTTTTGCTCAATCGAATGACACTAAGATCAAGTCGATAGGGCTAATAGTTCAAAAGTTATGAGGATTTTATTTAGTAAAATGCATAAAAAAGTATAATTTTTGATTGTACTGTTTTTGGGGGTTTGAAATACCTATCAGTACAAATGAAGTATAATTTCTCATGTAGTTTTTGTATGCTGGGCA